TTCTTCTATTTCTGGGATTATAGACTTTCTGGAAAGCCAACTTCCAGGATAAAGTTGGCCCTCCAATTTGAAGCAGTTTTGAGTGATAAACATCATATGTACAATGTCAATTCCTTTGCAGTTCCTTCAATTCATGTGTTTTTTAGAATCTTCATCTTTTCCCATGGATTTTTCCCTTGAATAGCATCATTATTAGTTCATTCTCAAAAAAATCTAAGTATTATGATCGTTCTTGTTCGTGTGGAACTGTGTGTGTTCAGTGAAGCTCTCCAAACTCCTATTGAGTGTAAGAGAATTGTGATATGATTCATTTATTGCTAATTAGTAATTACTGTTAACCATTGATAGATGTTAGTTGCTTTTCTTTTTGCCCTCCAGGATGAACATAGAAAATTAAGGAAGTCTCTTAATGATTTATGAAGAAACCGACCTGTTGTTAATGTGAGCACTTCAACAACTTTTTATAAATAACAAAGGATCTGAAGGCTTTTGGCATTATGCATGTCTGGTCCTGTGGTGATTGCTGATGGTGTTGGAAGACCACGTTCGTTGTCACATAGGGTCCTATCGGTTAGTACTACATTGCTTAGTGACAATCATACCTGCGACTCAACAACAAATGGAGAAAGTTCTCCTTCTGAATCCAGAGGCTTTAGAGTTGGCGAGCTCTTACTGCCGAACGGCGAATATTATTCGGGGTCTCTGCTGGGCAATATACCAGAAGGTTCAGGCCTGTATATCTGGTCTGATGGTTGTAGGTATGAGGGTGAGTGGAGGCTTGGGATGAGACATGGTTATGGGACCCTTAAATGGCCTTCTGGTGCTGTTTATGAGGGTGAATTTTCTGGTGGTTATATGCATGGCACAGGGACATATATTACGCATGACAAAATGACTTACAAAGGTCGATGGAAACTGAATCGCAAACACGGTTTAGGGAACCAAATATACCCCAATGGTGATGTCTTTGAAGGATCCTGGATACAAGGTAAACTAGAAGGAGCTGGCAAGTATGCCTGGGCTAATGGGAATGTGTATTTTGGGAATATGAAAGGAGGAAAGATGTGTGGGAGTGGAACTCTCACTTGGCTCAGTGGAGATACATATGAAGGGTGTTGGTTAAATGGTATGATGCATGGTTTCGGTGTATATACATGGAGTGATGGTGGATGCTATATGGGAACTTGGACTCATGGTCTAAAGGACGGAAAAGGGGTATTTTACCCAAGAGGTAGCAAGCTTCCTGTCGTGCAGGAATTGTACCTTAATGCCTTGAGAAAAAGGGGGTTGCTGCCCGATCTAAGGAATGAAAAACGGGTGTCACGTATAGAAAATGCTAAATTGAGTGCAGACCAAAAGGGTTCATCTTTTAAGCTCACGAAAGGAAATTTTTCCAATCTAGAGCTGAATCGTCGGACCAATGATTTTTTTCTAGACAGACGCTGGAGTCTTGAAGTGTCGATTGAGAAAGTTATTGGGTGTGATTTAGAGTCTGAAATTACTAGCAGTGACAATCTCAACTCTTCAGTTTTGGAAAGAGAATACGTGCAAGGCGTCTTGATCAGTGAAGTTATGCTGAGTGACCGTTTCTCTTCACCGTCTAGGAGAGCAAAAAGAAGGCAAAGAAAACTGGTCAGGGAGATGAAGAGACCTGGTGAGACAATTATTAAAGGTCACAGGAGTTATGATTTAATGCTGAGTTTGCAGCTTGGAATCAGGTAAAAAACTACACACTCGTGTAGATCTATGTCATCCTACTTCCATCTTATTAAAATAACCCATTAGCTTTGTTTTGAATTAGTAGTACTAAATTACTTGTTAACAAATATGACTAGATATACTGTGGGAAAAATCACCCCTATACATAGGAGAGAAGTACGGGCTTCAGATTTCGGTCCTCGTGCGAGCTTTTGGATGTACTTTCCTAAAGAAGGGTCACAGCAGACACCTTCACACCAGTCAGAAGATTTTAAATGGAAGGATTATTGTCCAATGGTATTCAGGTTGGCTGTTTCTACTTTCTAATGTCTATTCTCTTGGATTTTCTTAACTTGCAATTGATGGGTTCTATTGAACTGTTACATACTCTGTATTTGAGTTTTCTGATTTCTCAATAACTTCAGTGCCCTCTTCAATTGTTGCTATAGGAACCTGAGAGAAATGTTTAAAATAGATGCTGCTGACTACATGATGTCAATTTGTGGAAATGATGCACTTAGAGAGCTTTCTTCCCCTGGAAAAAGCAGCAGTGTTTTCTTTCTCTCACAAGATGATCGTTTCATGATTAAGACATTGCGAAAATCAGAAGTTAAGGTTTGTCCTCTTTAGTTGCTCTATTTGGACGTACATTTTGCTTCCCATACTAGTTTTCTTGGATCCAATGTTTTTTAAAGAGGTCATTTAGATAATGGATGAAAGATTCAGAATCTGAAATAGAAGGGGAGTGAAGCAACGTTCTTACTCATTGAACACTGTTGAGTATAATATGTAAAGCAATGAACACTCAGGTGTTTGGGTTGATTTCATCGCCATTACAATACCTTTGGACGTGCCAAATATATGGGCACTTTGTAATATATCTAATCCATTTAGACCAATACATCAATAGGTTATATTAACATGTTATACCCACCTGTAGGTTTTGCTCCATATGCTTCCGAAGTACCATCTACATGTGCGTACTTATGAGAACACACTCATTACCAAATTTTTCGGTCTACACAGGATAAAGCCTTTAAGTGGACAAAAGGTATTATTTCCATTATGTTGACAATTTCATTTGGATGACAATGTGTGATGCTCCTTGTCTGACCATATATCATTAAAGTATTGCACCAGCCTCAAAAAAAATTAAAGCTTGTGTAACTATAGATGGTGTGCCCCTCTCTCTCTCTCTCTGCACATCTTGACTCCCTACATGCCAATAGACTGAACGGAGTTCGGGTTATATTGGGTTTGTCATTGTTGCTTCCCCCCTCCCAATTTTCTTTAGCAACTGCCATTTTTTGTGCTATTTTTCTTCAATCCATTGATCCCAAAATCTCTATGCAGGCATTAGGCTCTCTTTGGGCATCTACATTTAATTCCTTCAGCCTAACTCAGATATGTCCAACTGGATTTTAGATGCAGTTTGTGTATTTTTGGGTTAGTTTGTTTTATACCAGGAGGGATGCGGTATATGTGCATAAAAAGAGAACCACCTAGTCACCCACTGCCCATATAGTCCCATGGTTATTTCGACCACTTAGTTGTCAAGATTAGCCAAACTCTTATTTCGACGACCTTTTTTTCGTTTTTGTTTTGTTTTGTTTCACTTTCTTTTTTTTTTGACGCAATTTTGAGGAAAGGTGCCCCCTTTTTTTTCCTCTAATTTTTCCAACATCATGAGAGTTCTTTTAAACTATTCTTGTGCCAGAAAAGAGTACTCAACATTGACAAAAGATCAAAATATTGCAATGTAATATTGTTTTCATATTTTATTTACAGTTCCGCTTCGTGGTGATGGGAAATATGTTCTGCACAGAGCTAAGAGTCCATCGGCGATTTGATTTAAAAGGATCCTCGCTGGGGCGTTCTGCAGATAAGGTTGAAATAGATGAAAGTACAATACTTAAAGATCTAGATTTGAACTACTGCTTCTATCTTGAGCCTACGTGGCAACAGGCCCTGCTGAAGTAAGTGTATCTCCAGATCCCTCATACTATAATCAATTTAAGTCATCCATTTCCGAGGCCAGTTATTGTTTGCTTACCAATTTCTTTGGATTTCATTTTCCATTACCCGTTGTTATATGATGCATCAAAATCTGCAGGCAAATTGAAATTGATAGCAAATTTTTGGAAGAACAGCACATTATGGATTACAGTCTCCTTTTAGGCGTTCACTACCGCGCTCCTCAACACCTACAATCCATTGTATCACATAGTAAACAAATAACCACAGATGGGTTAGAAATTCTTGCAGAAGAAGGTAGGGTGGTCGGTCTATAAAACTCATCACTACTTTCAACATATACCAACTTCTTTTCAACCCACACAAGTCTAACTGATTAGCATTTAATCTGAATGTGATTTCTAGAATTACATTTACGTGATATGGGCAGTTGGGCGAAACGCGATTAATAATTTCTTAAAATTTGTACCACAATGGCAGAATCTATGGAGGACGAAATAGGCCCCCAAGGGCTTGTGTTAGTTCCACGAGGTGCAGATGATGATGGAAGCATTGTTGTGGGACCACACGTCAGAGGCAGTCGCTTGAAGGCATCCTCTGCTTCGGGTGATGAGGAAGTAGATCTTCTTCTTCCAGGAACAGCAAGGTAGTACTCAAGCTTGTGGTTGTAGACCCTAAACCCTAAACCATTTCATCAACTCTTGCACGTAAAACCCTCATTTAAAAAAAAAACTAAAAAAACTGAGTGGCGGGGTGGTTTAAACTTGTGACCAACAAGACTTTGATTGTAGAATCAGAAAATGCTTTTCTAGCGCAGTGTGGAATTAAGCGGTCTATTTGATGCGAATATGTGTGCTGATACAGAGTGTTTTTTCTGAAAGCAGATTGCAGATTCAGCTAGGGGTAAACATGCCAGCAAGAGCAGAGCATTTCCCTGGGAAAGGCGGCGAGAAGCAGGTGTTTCATGAAGTGCATGATGTTGTGCTCTACCTGGGGATCATCGACATCTTGCAAGAGTACAACATGACTAAGAAGATAGAACACACTTACAAATCCATACAATTCGACTCCGTGTCCATCTCTGCTGTGGACCCCGTTTTCTACTCCCGCCGCTTCTTGGAATTCATTCGGAAGGTTTTCCCCGCAAATTCGCCAGCGAGTTAGAAAGAAGAACGCCTTACTCCAATCATCCTAAATAATCATCGGTATTGAAATTAGTACACTCTTTTTTACTCTGTATTTTTTTTAGTTTTTAAATGTAAGAAGTATATGTGTATCTTGATTTGCAATTTTGTTCATAGAGATAATAGGCAATGTTACCTTGCAATTTTGTACTTCATTTTGTAACATTTTGCCTTCAATATTTTTCCTCTGGTAAAAATGTACAATTTGTAGAAGTTTTTAATTAGGAAAAGAATGCGAAATCAGTGACTCGAACCATTGAACCCTGAATTACCTCATTTTACCTCATTTATTTATCATTTATCAAACAAGCCTAACACCAATGAGCTATGGCTTGTTGTTCATAGCAGCATTCCTGACGTATAATAAAACTAAATACTATTCCCCTGTGTTGAGCAGCATCCTACACCAGATAATTAAAACAAATATTACTCTCATATATTCCCTCCGTCTCCCATAGATCTTTCCAATAGCCCTTTTTCTTTGTCCACAATAGATCTTCTCATTTCATTTTTTAACAATTAAAATACCACAACTACCCCCACTTACTTTATTTATTACACCTCACCCACCTCATTTAATACATTCCACCCATTTTCATTAAGGGTATTATGGTAAACTTTCACCTTTTTTCAACTCTCCTTAAAAACCACCAAAAGACAAAATGAGAACATCTTAGGGGGACGGAGGGAGTAATAAATACAATAAGAAAGCTAACGTTTTACTTATTGCCTTAAGCTTTTGGATTAAAAAGTGTACAAATATTATATGTAAAATCCAACGTGCAGTATGTTCTATCTTCTTAGTGATACTAGAAGTTGGATTTTAAGTGAATCTCATTAAAACAAGACAAATGTAATTAATGAGGCTCATGGGCCTCGTTGACCCGGGGGGATTATCGGATTATGAGTGGACAAATACGTATTGCAAGCTTCCTCTCTACTTTTGGTACTACCCCATCTTTAGAATCCATCTAACATGGTTTTTGGTTTTGGACCTCAACATCGATGTTGCCCTATATGAACATCGATAATGCACCACTTTGGCTTTCTCTGGTTTGATCTAGTAGGTATTAAACATCGATGTTGCCTAGTGAACATTAATGTTTCGCCAACTTTGCCTTTCTCCAATTTATCGTAGTAGGTTTTGAACATCGATGTTGGCCCAGTGAACATTGATTTTGAAAATGATTGTTGGTAAAAATCAAAGACTAAATCTTTCTTTTTTAAAAAGTTAACCAACAAAAAATCAATGGTGTCTTTTGAATATCGATGTTCTCATGATCATTAGTCATTCCAACGAATTCTTTGAGTTTTAAAAGAAAGTCAACTTCAAGAACATCGATGTTGGTGTTTAAACATCAATGTTTTGACTATGACCACCAGACAAACTTTGATTTGATTTGCACAAATCAAGCAAATCAACCACAATCTTCTCTCATCCGCTGGCTTCTTTAACACATAATTCTTCATCTGTTTCATTGTTTTTTATTGCATCAATTCTTATACATTTTTCATAGCTTTTGAGAGCCAATTCTTGAAGAATTAAGAGCCATTTGGAAACCAGGAAAATAAATTATGGGAAATGACTTATTTTCCTAAAACCATTTTCCTTTTCTACAGTTTCGCTGAATGATGGAAAACTATCTGCGGCTGTTTATTTCATTTTTGGAAAATGAATAGCTAGAATAAACAAAAAGTATGACTATAGATATAGATCGATGTGTTGCAAACAAAAAAACTTTTTTTCTAAATAAGGAAAATTGATGATTATGATTCAATCCCCTTTTTAAAAGAAAATGTTATTTAAAACAAAGTACAAAAAGGGAGGATCGAAACCAAAGCCCTCGAAAAAAAAATATTACAAGAGTGCTTTATCACAAGAGCTTCTAATGTGTTGATTCTAAGATACAACTCTAAACCCAAAAATAGGGTGCCCCATATAGGTTTTACAATAAGAACTAATTACACAACTCATAAACACCAAAACATTAGCTCTAAATATGAAGCTTCTTTTTGCCAAATAAATTTGAAAAATGACTGCGACTTGATTTTGTGATGCAAATCTCCCTGTACACATTATAATGAAACCAAATCACAAGCCAATTGATCCAAGTGTGGTTCACAATCTTTAAGGTTTACAAAAGTAAGGAAAAAACAAATAGGAATAAACAAAACCAATAAAAAAACCGAATCACTTTGTAATGAATTGGAGAAAAAACAAAGAGAAAGTTCAATTCTAGTTCAATACAAACTACAAACCATAGATAAGAAACAAGAATTCTTATAAAACCTGCCCCAACCCTTATAACAACAACAAGCATTAGTATAGTACCCTTATAACAGCAAAGACGCAGATTACAGCATATCGTAGCAAGGTGAGGGTGAAAATACAGAATACAATTGGCCTAGGCTAAGGCAGCGCTAGAATAACCAAACTCAAATTCACATATTAACAAAATCAAGTTTCAGAATAAAAGATTCACATGAAAAATCTAGAAGAAAAATTGAAGAGAAGTAAAAGAGGATAATAACCTTAAACCTTTTTCTATCAAGATTGCAAAAACTGATGGTAGGTTAGAAAGGCAAAGAAGGCAGATGAAAAAACCCCTAGTTGAAGATAAGAGGCATCAACAATGGAAAATTAGAGAGGCAAAGGATGTGGAGGAAAGAGATGATATGGGGCATCGACGATGATGGAGATGGGGGGAGTCGATGAAGCAAAATGGCTAGAAAATGGTGAGATTTTTTTGATATTTGCCATTGATAGTCGATTATCATTAACTGATAATTGATTATTGGTCTTTACTGAAACACCTATAGCCTCCTATAGTCGATAATCATAATGTGGATAATCGATTATGTGTATTTTCCTTTTGAAATATGAAAAGATCACACATTGATAGTCGATTATCCAAAGCTTGGTAATTGATTTTGAAACTTTCCAACTGAGATGGCCAAACTTCAGCATGCCATGATAGTCAATTATCACATAGTTGATAATCAATTATCAGCCAGCGCTAGATTGCCTAGTTTTGCCCGATAGCCAAAAATTGATTTTTGCCAACTTGAAAATCAATTTTTCACATTCCCTTGCTTTAACACCATTTTAAGCCTAAAAGAGACTTGCAAAAAAGAGTAAAAAATTTCTATGATGCTCAAGTTAGTAAGAGATCAATAAAATATTAAATGCACATCTTATATCATCATGGAGTTGAGTATTCCGAGTTTGCTTCGGATGCTGAAAAACGACTCTTTCTCTAAAGGTTTTGTGAAAACGTAGGCTTATTAAAATTTAATTTCTACGAACACAATTTCAATATCACCTTTGACAACATAATCACTTATGAAATAATGCCTAATGTCAATGTGTTTCATTCTTAAATGAAGAATAAGGTTCTTCATCAAGCTTATCACACTAGTATTATCACATTGAAGAGGGGCATGATCAATACTAAAGACATAATCCACGAGTTGTTTCATTAAAAGGATATGAGGGCAACAACTCTCAGCGGTTAGTATTCCGCTTCAGTTGTGGATAACACAACACTGACTTGTTTCTTACAAAACCATGAGACTAATATGTTGGACATGAGTTCAAACCACTTGTATATATTCTGGAATAGTTTTTGGTTTTGATATATGAAAAACAGGATGATTGAAATCAATGATGATCAAAAACTTATTTTTCGTATCGAGAAAAGAAAAGAGGCGTATACAGAAATTTACGGCAATAAAAATCAATGTTTACCCCTAAGCAAATTTTTTTGAAGTGAAGTGAAGATTCCGAAGACTTTTATCTTCATTTGAGTCTAGGAATTTTTGTAAGGATGACAATAATTTTTGCATAAACAAATTAATTCTTGAGGGACAAATTATTATTTTCTGAGTCAGTTGAAAAATCAACTTTTCTTTGTCTTAGCCGCCACCCCAGAACATGAAGCAACTGCGAGGGTTCCTTAGTCTCACGGGGTATTATCGCTGATTTATCGCCAGATACGCTATGATCGCGGCACCGCTGACCGAGTTACTTAAGAAAGAGGGGTTTGCTTGGAATGAAAACACCACCGAGGCGTTCAAAAAACCCATGAACTCTACCCTGGTCTAACGTCTGGCCGATTTCACCCAAACATTTGATGTGGAGACAGATGCTTCAGATTATGGGATTAGGGTTGTCTTACTCCAACAGGGCCACCCTCTCGCATTTTTTAGTAAGAAACTAGGACCACGATGTCGAGCCACTTCAACCTACCACAAAGAGTTGTATGCCATCGTAGAGGCCATTCAAAAGTGGTGTTACATGGGTTACAACAGGAAAATACAACAGCCCCGGACCTCCTGGACCTCCTATACATTGGTGCAACCTCTCCTCTCCGATTTCAGATTATGCACGAGTATCATGGCATGTCGTTGGCCGGACACCACGGGGTCAAGCGCACTTTTCAGCAGGTGGTCGATGGTTTTTATTGGACGAGCATGCGGCGTGACATTCGCAAGTTTTTGGCTTCGTGCGAGGTATTTCAGACGACGAAGTACTCCACTCAGAAACCCGCAGGCTTACTTCAACCCCTACCCATCCCGGATCGAGTTTGGGAGTCGCCGTCGATGGATTTCATTACGGGGTTGCCACCATCGCAGGGGTTTTCAGCAATTATGTTAGTGGTGGATCGGCTATCCAAGTATGCTCGCTTTGGCGCTCTCACCGCGGGATACGACGCCCCAAAGGTGGCACAGCTCTTCTTGGACGTCACGCATTCCCTAACGCTATTATCTCTGATTGGGATCCGATTTTCATGAGTATTTTTTTGAAGGAATTGATGCGTTTAAGTGGCACCTCGTTAAAGTTCAGCAGAGCCTACCATCCCGTCAGATGGCCAGACGGAGGTTCTAAATCGCGGGCTGGAGCAATACCTTCAGGCCTTTGCACACGAGCGTCCCACGCGTTGGTCCTCATTTCTCGTTTGGGCTAAACTCGCATTAAATTGCTCTGTACACGAAGGTTTGGGTGTGTCCCAATATCAATCTCTTTACGGCTGCCACCCCTCGTCCCTGTTTCCTACGATGGCCGTGCGTTCTCGGGTGCCTACTATTGAGGAGCTCTTAAAGGAACGGGCAGAGTTGCTTGCCGATATTCGTACTCACCTTAC